ATGCTTGACAAAAAGTACCAGATGGTTTTCAAGTTCACTTCAGGTGAACAGTGCTGCCTTGCCTCCAGACACTCTGCTCGAGAAGACTTTGAGTGTCGCTGGCCAATCACAGTCAACTATCTAGCGAGAATACACAACTTCGTGTGGTAACATGGTTGCTTACGAATTCATATTCAGGAATCTTGAACTTGAACTAAGCCATGTGGTAATCGGGCTTTAACCTAGAAATTAGTGGCTCCATGAATGCGATCGTGAATGTTGAGAAGATGACGATCATTTTGTCGTTTCCGATCTCTGTGGGCAGGTGTGAGGGGGAGGCTGGCAGGGGAGAACGTGGTGCCATGCGATGCCAGATGGGGGTTCCGGTGTATGGTCGCTACCGCGCGAAAGGCCTAAGACCGGGTCAAACATTTTCTTTCATTTCGATTCTGGATCCACATGAAACGCCCCTTTTCAACGGGCACGTCATGCACTCGCAGTGTGCCTAGCGTGACGAAGTGCGCGAGAGCGCGTCAGACATCATTCATCTTCGGTTCAGTATTTACGGTGAAGAAAGGTTCGGTGCATTCTGAAGCGATGTTTCTGCTCAACCTCTTTGAACCGCCACCCACCAGTATGAACAGTGATTCATTGGCTGAAAACGAGCTGGAACGGTACAGTATGACACGCAGCGAGAAAAACGTTGTCACATGTGCACCTTCCCACCTGCCCACAAAAGACGAGCCAACCAACCAAGCAGCTACCACCCACCTCCACCCCAGTGAGGGCAGCAGCTTTACCTTACCCCACCCTCACTGCACAGTGGCTGGCCACTACTAGCGTAGCACATGGGATCTCTCTTGGCGGACGGGACGCGACTGGGCGGGAGACGTATATATCATCTCTCCCAAAAGCCACAGCGGAAAATACGGTCGACGACGGTCGTTCCTAAAAGCCACTCTCGGTATATTCATCAGCGCGCCAATTTCTTTCTCACGGTTTCCCACCGAACAATGGAAGGCCCTGTTGCCAGGGCGCATCTCGCTCCACCTTCCTCGTCCTCCCGTTCAACCTTCCGGCGCCCTCCTGTTTTCGAAAACATCCACCTTGACGTTCCGCAGTCCCCCCCGCTTCGCTCCCCCTCCAGCGCCGGTTTTGAGACGTCTCAAAACGTTCCGCAGTCCCCCCAGCTTCGCTCCTCCTCCAGCGCGGCGGCCGTTCCTCCACGCTTCAGCACTCCCACCTTCAGGTCCACCAGTGGCGAAGAATGTGGTAATCTGCAAGGTCCGCGCTTTTCGCCGCGCGAATGGCGTCCGGCGGCGGCCGTTTCTGTGGTGCGCAGCCCGAGCGCGGCGCTCGTGTCGCGCCTTGCCGTCGCATCGGCGGAAATGGATCGCGTGTGGATCGAAGACTCTTCGTCGGACGAGAGCCCATCGAACGAGTCTCTGCGTGCAGGCCGCGATGATTCAGATTCTCGGTCGTTCTGGCCGGTGAACAGGGGAAGGCGCGAGGTGAGGAGATGGTTTTCTGATTCAGAGCGTCCTGTTGCCGTCTGTGCTCCCGTCCTCGTCCCTGGCAGTAGTAGCCTCAGCAGCAGCAGTAGTAGCGTCAGCAGCAGCAGCGCGAGATTACCGACGTTGCTAGATTCTCGCAGCAGCAAGCTTCAGGCCTTTTCGTGGGGTTACGATGTTACCACAAGGGTGGAGGAGATCAGCGAAAAGGCGCATCCCGTCCATTCGCCGCAAAGCGCCGCCGCCACTGCCAGCGCACCCACAGCATCACAGCCCCGGGCTGCTTGGAACAGTTTGGGCTCGTATGAACAAAAGCCTCGTTCCAAAGGTCATGGAGGATCAGGTTCGGCGTCAGACCGTCTGGGGGAACAATGTGACAGCATGCAAGCCCCGTGCTGCCTCTGCTTTTCCGAATACACTGGCGTTCATCGCCAAACATGCTGCCTCCAGTCTCCGAGTCTTTCCAGCCATCGGAGCAGCTCCTTCGAAGCTGTTGTTTTGCTGCGGCGATCTTCGCTAGGCGAGGGGGAGAATTGCCTCGTCAGCTGCTTGGCTGGCAGCCCCAGATCGCGAGGAAGCTGCGGCTTCGCAGCTGTTGGCCGCCGCCGCGTGTCGTTCAACAGGATGGTACACGTGCGCTACATTGGGGGCAATGGCACGTGTGGATAATTCTTGAGTCGACTCTAAAGTCACCTCGCAGCTGTCGGCCGCCGTGTGACGTTCTAACAAGACGGTCCACGTGCGCGACATTGGGGATAACGGCACCTCCTCCGTCAGGTGTAGCACGGATTTCACGTGAAATGGGGGTGCTATTGAGGCGTCTCAAAAACACCCCCATTTCACGCGGCTTAGATAACGGCACTTGTAGATAACGGCACCTCCGTCAGGTGTAGCACAGATTGCGCTGGAAGCAGCTGGAAAGACGATGGTCGGGGTGACTGCACGACGGATGATGCGTCTCCTTCCTGCAGCGCCGCATTAAAAAAGTCATGACGCAGGTGAAATGCTGATAACCCGGAGCAGAGAACGGATGGTGATAAGAAGAACAAAGCAGAGAGCACACAACAAAGTTGGCAATCGCGCACTGAAAGCTATCCAGCAGTGCCCTCAGCCCAGCTACTGATACCTGGCGACCTTTGAGTCAGACTCAGAAATTACCTGTCGACCCGTTACCTGGCGACCTGGATGGTCTACTGTCAGAAAGCATGGCTAGAAGTGTCCAACTGTATCAACGAGTTGCATCGTATAGGGTTCAGTACTTTGTAGGTTTGTACATATGTACCCGTCTCCATCTAGTCATGCCCCACTGCGCTTGCACAACTGTATGTCTTTAACACCCTCTTAGCATCTTGCATGGAATGGAAAGCAAAACCCTGAAACAATCTGGCATCACCTTTGCGGCACCTCAAAAGAGCGAGCGACTGTGGTGCTAGCCACTCTCACTCTGCTTGCTTCACCACCTCAGACTGTGGTGCTAGCCACTCTCACTCTGCTTGCTTCACCGCCCTCTTGACCAATGTAACCTGCCTCCAGATTGTCGTGATTGTCTTGAGATGTCTTAAAACGAGTACGGGCACTGGGTACACTCACTCTGCCTCTTCCACAACCTCCTTCACTGAATTAACCTGCATCCGGAGACACAGGCAGACATGGGGCAGACACGAAGTGAGCCTGTTTTGAAACGCCTTACAACAAGTACTATGAACACTGGGTGCGCTCACTCTGCCTCTTCAACAACCTCCTTCACTGAAATAACCTGCATCCGGAGACACAAGCAGACATGCAGCAGACACGAGCAGTCATGGGAAGACATGGGGCAGACACGAGCAGTCATGGGGCGGACATGGGACAGTCATGGGGCGGACATGGGACAGTCATGGGGCAGACATGGGACAGTCATGGGGCAGACATGGGACAGTCATGGGCAGACATGGGCAGACATGGGCAGACATGGGCAGACATGGGCAGACAAGGAGAGACAAGAGCAGACAAGGGAAGGCAAGGGAGAACAAGGGGAGGTGACGGGGTAAAAGAGACCAAGTGTACGAGGAGAAAACTCATTTTGAGGCGCCTCAAGAGGTGACGGGGTAAAAGAGACCAAGTGTACGAGGAGAAAACTCATGGCACTAGCCTTAGCATTAAAAGATACGAATCCATTCAGCCAATGAGCATTCTCTTGATGGAAGCCCATGGCACTGGCCTGCCCAAACATTGATCCATGAAGCTCCATCGTACATACTAGAAAGCTGTACGCAGTGCTGTTGCCTTGCTCACACTTCCTGTCACCAAGAATCCGTACCCAGTACTGTAGCCTTCCTAACACTTCCTGTCACCAAGAATCTAAAGCATGTCAAATGACTAAACTCGGATGTTAGCCCTCTAAAGCGCCCCTCTTGCCTCTGAATAGTAATGCATGAACATCAACATGCAACAGGAACACTCAGATTTTATTACAGTCATGCCCCTAATTGCCACACTGATATTGGTGTTGCTTTTGAGAATTCTCAAAAGGTCATCACACTCATCTATGATGCACTGTCCATGAGGATTATTCCCAACCCGCTCACTAGGTGACTTTTGAGTCGACTCAACAGCCTCCTGGTTGTAAAAGTTGTACTTTGAGACGTCTCAAAATACAACTTTTATCACAGGATTATTCCCAACCCGGTCACTAGGTGACTTTTGAGTCGACTCAACAGCCTCCTGGTTGCCACACTGATGTTGGTGTTGCGTTTGAGAAGTCTCAGCAGGTCATTATGTTGCCACACTCACCTCTGACGCACACTCACCTCTGATGCACTGAACACGAGCATTATTCTCAACCCGCTCATTAGAATCACAGATGGGGAGGGGAGGGGACATGGTCTGTCAAGATTCGTTACAATCACATCCGTTCTACTCACATCTGGGATACAGTGTGTAAGCATGTTCTCTACTCCGCTCTTTAGAGTCACAGAGGAGCTCGGGCAGCCTGTGCAAGCCATTCACTATAATCACATCTGTTCTACTCACCTCTGGGATGTAGTGTGTGAGCATGTTCTCGACCCCGCTCTTTAGAGTCACAGAGGAGCTCGGGCAGCCACTGCAGGCGCCCTTCATGCGCAGATACACGATTCCCGTGGCTCTGAGGGGTGGGTGGTACGCAAGGTGACGTGGACGTGGGATCATGCTTGGCTAAGAACCCATGGTGACGTATAAAAACTACGCTTGGGTGGGCACTGGAAGAACCCATGGTGCCTTGCCTACCCAAGCGTACAGCTGCTGAAGACACAATCAAATTGGCCCTGGTGGTTGATAAGTGGGAGACACAGGTTTGAGGTTTACGTACAGAAAGGCACTGCAAGAGGGTGATGCGCCAAGCGGATGACGTGGCAAGCGGATGGCGTGGCAAGAGAGTGACATGGCAAGAGGTTGACATGAAGAGCTCACTCGTCAAAGTCAACCCAGATCAAACTCACTCGTCAAAGTCAACCAAGTCAAACTCACTCGTCAAAGTCAACAAAGTCAAACTCACTCGTCAAAGTCAACAAAGTCAATGTCCCCTCCGTCCTCCTGCACTGCCGGTCGAATGCGCGTCTCCAGCAGCTCCCTTATCATCAGCACGGTTTCGCTCTCGTCCTGATGGGGCAAGATGGGAGACGTGAGTTCAAATGGGGAAAAAGAGGGGGACCAGAGGAGAGACGGGTTGAACGCGCGTTTTCAGCAGCTCCCATGTCATCAGCACCGTCTCGCTCTCGTCCTGAAGGGAGTGGCGAAGGGGGGAGAGGGGAACACGGGGAGGGGAAAGGGGGGTAAAGGACGGAGGGAGAATGGTTGGAGCCGAATGCACGTTTCCAGGAGCTCCCATGCCATCAGCACCGTCTCGCTTTCGTCCTGACGGGAGTGGCGGAGGTGGGGGGGGCGGAACAAGGAGAGGGGAAAAGGGGAAAAAGACAGGGAGAATGGCAGGGAACGGGTTGGAGTCAAATACGTGTCTCCAGCAACTCCCTTATCATCAGAACCATCTCGCTCTCGTCCTGAAGGGCAAGAAGTGATTCGTAAGGGGTGGTGAAGGGGAGAGGACAGAGGGGAGACTGGCTGGGAGCGGGTTGGGTTTGAATTTTGAAGCACTCTCCAGCAACTCCCTTATCATCAGCACCGTCTCACTCTCGCCCTGATGCAAACCAAGGGGGAAGGAGTGAAGTAGGGAAGGGGGCAATTTCAGGTCTTGTATTCTATCCTCAACACCATTTCACCTCTTCGTAAGTTGTTGCTCGTCGTCGCCCCACATCTAGTTCGTTATGAGACGTCTCAAAACACATCGCCCCACATCTAGTTCGTTTTGAGACGTCTCACAACACGTCGCCCCACATCTAGTTCGTTTTGAGACGTCTCACAACACGTCGCCCCACATCTAGTTCGTTATGAGACGTCTCAAAACACGTCGCCCCACATCTAGTTCGTTTTGAGACGTCTCACAACACGTCGCCCCACATCTAGTTCGTTTTGAGACGTCTCACAACACGTCGCCCCACATCTAGTTCGTTTTGAGACGTCTCAAAACACGTCGCCCCACATCTAGTTCGTTTTGAGACGTCTCACAACACGTCGCCCCACATCTAGTTCGTTTTGAGACGTCTCACAACACGTCGCCCCACATCTAGTTCGTTTTGAGACGTCTCAAAACACGTCACCCCACATCTAGTTCGTTTTGAGACGTCTCACAACACGTCGCCCCACAACACATCTGATCGACATCTGATTCAACCCACAATTGATTCTACCATTCGCCACTGCACCCAAACTTATCATACCACTATTGCACGCACCCCTTCTCACATACCGTTTTGCCACTACATCTCAACTCATCTTCCCGTTGTTGCCATTGCAACTGTGCAACGTTTTGTGGGGAATTCCCAAATAAAACCCTGCAGCCTCAAGAAAACTCCGCGCTCCTTGCAACACCTGTGGGGGCCCCCAGAAACACCTGTGGGGGCCCCCAGAAACACCTGTGGGGGCCCCCAGAAACACCTGTGGGGGCCCCAGAAACACCTGTGCCCCCCCCCCCATCATACCTCCCCAGTGTAGAGTGTGCCCCAGAAACACACTACACCTCTCTACTTCTAATACTCCCCACCCCACCTCACCACTCCCCACACGCTCCACCACTCTCCCCCCCCCCCACCACTCTCCCCACCCCACCTCTGCCGGTTGTTGCTCCCCACTAGCTGCTGCCGCCTCTGCCTGGGGGTTCAGCACTTCACATCTCCACCTCACCTGCCTACTGCTGTTATTCCCCCCCCCCCCCCCGACTCTACCACACCTCACCTTCTCTACTCCCATCACTCCCCCCATCACTCCCCCTATCCCACCACTCCCCCCCACCCCACCTCTGCCGGTTGTTGCTCCCCGCCAGCTGCTGCCGCCTCTGCCTGGGGGTTCAGCACCGGCTGCCCGGAAGCAAAAAAGTCCATCAGGGCAGCGAAAATTTCTGGCTTGAGGAGATCCCAGGAGCTCTCCTCCGTTTTAGTCACAGTCACAAAGTCACCCCCCAGGAACACCCGAGCTACACCTGTGGACAAGGGCGGTGGAAGGATGGTGGTTGGTGGAGGGATGGTGAAGCAATTCTGGACGGCACTGATGGAAGCGGGATTCTGGGATTGGTCACAAGTCACAAAGCCACCCCCCAGGAACACCCGAGCTACACCTGTGGACAAGGGCGGTGGAGGGATGGTGCGGAGGATGGTGTGGCGGGATGGTGGAGGAGGGATGGGTGCGGTTGGGCATCGAAAAAAAATAAAATCGCTTACCATCAATGCGGAACAGTGCAATGGCAAGTGGAGATGCTAGGGCAGCTCGGGCAGAAGAAAACTCGATGGATGATGGAGAAGGCGGATGATCCTCCAATGACGAGGAGGTGGAGGGAGAGGAGGAGGTGGGGGGAGGAGGGAAGGAGAGGATGGGCCGGCCAGGGTTGAACATGAGTGAGGCAGGGTTGGGAGTGGTGAGGGTTTGAATGAACATGGACCGCCGTTGCTGGTGCTGATGTGGCAGCACATGTTGCTGGACAGGGTGATTGCGGTGGTGGTAGTGCAAGGAACGCTGCTGGTGAGAGTGGTGTTGGTGCAGATGCTTAGTTAAGTGGTGGGGTTGTTGATGGTGCAGGGACAAGAGGCGATGCAGGCAACGCAGAGAGGAGCCAGCGGTGGTGGTGGTGGCAGTGGCAGTGGTGGCAGCAGTGGTGGCAATGGTGGTATTGGTGGTGGATGTGGCAATGGTGGTATTGGTGGTGGATGTGGCAATGGTGGTATTGGTGGTGGAAGTGGCAAGGGTAGTGGTGGTGGTGTTGGTGGTGGGGGTGGGTGCAGCAGCCGCATCACAGGGGAAGAAAGAGCAGGCCACAGCATGTGACGCGGACAAGGAGGCAGCAGGAGCAGAGGGAGCGGCAATCCCAAGGGTGTGAGGCGGCGCGAGCAGCCTCCATGCGCTCAACTGTTGAGAGGGCAACACAGATGGAAGCGGAGCAAGGTAGAGCAGAGGAGAGCAGAGGAGAAGAGAGTAGAGCAGAGCAGAGCAGCACGGATGAGACGAGTGAAATCACACGGGAGGAGTGGGTGGAACAAAAGGATGGGCTTTGAGAAGCGCTTCAAATCAAGCCGAGTGGATTGGGCCAATGGGAAGGGCGTAGCTGAAATGAAACGAATCGATCAGATCAGATCCTGCAAGATGATCTAATCCGATCCAAGACGAATCAACTGATGGAGCAGCTTGCACTTGCCATGCAGGCCACAACGACTGCGATCAGGCAGAGCATCGGGAAATACGCTGCAGCAGACAGCTTCTGAACTGTTATGAGCGATCTCAGGAATATCTTTGCGAAACTCGTTCTAGTAAATATGAGCGAGCCCTTGCCGATTGACATGACTGACTTGGTTTGAATTGAGCTTACAGCTTTCCTCGGCGACATGTCGGAGCAGCGATCGACAGCCTGACTGCTATGGGCTCAGTCTTTATGGCAGGCAGACGACGCTGTTGTTGATTCTTTTCCGTTTCCCCTTTTCCTTTTCGGATCGTAGGCTCGACGAATAGGACTTTACGGCGACGGGAGGACCCGATCTCTACGCGCTGCAACTGGCTTAGTCGACTGAACGATCCTCTGAAACGAGAGCGGAGCGCGGGCGGAGACGGAGCGGAGGAGCGGAGGGTCGAGTGGAAGGGAAAGGAAGCATCGAACGAACTTGAGGGGGACGTGGGGTGGCGGAAAAAGGGCGTGGCTCGAACAAAGTGATACAGTCCGGTCTGCACACATGGTTGCACTTCTCCGCTTGTTTGGAGATCGACGATACATTCATGTTACGGCTTTGAAGGAGAGACATTGGAACAACGAGTGTTTTCTGCTACAGTAAATATCATAGAAATTACGAGCCAAGATCGTTACATCCCTTTTCCGAACACAGCCTTGATTTTGTTCATTTCCTGTGTGCTCCATTCAGTGTGTATGCACATTTCTCCTAAATCCGGATTTCAGGTTCCAGTTTCCACCATCTTTCCGATCCTTATAGACTCACTCCCGAATCGCATCAGCGTGTCGCTTTCACGTGAGCCAATTTCGAAAACTGCGTGAAATTCTTCTCTGCTGAGCTCCCGTCTAACACGCAGCTCAGCGATCCCAGTAGCTCTCCCCGTTCGTTTGTCTCCGGGCTGCGAATTTGTGACGGTTACGTTGCAGATCCATCAGCAACGGCGAAGCGCGAATAAAAAGGCATAAGCACGAAAAAAGGGGGGCCTCGTTTCGCATCCAGTTCTTTGCCGATTCGGAACGCTACGATTCAGATCGGACTGAGTGTAGAGACGACTCAAAAGTCACGCCGGACATCAGGAAAATACTGAGGCAGTCGATTCTTGTGGCTCCTCAAAAGGCGGAGCCAGGACCAGACGATTATTCAGGCGCCTGAAGAGGCGGAGCCGGTAGCAGTAGTAGTCGAGGGAAGGTATTTAGGAGCGGCCATGGCCCACCCGGGTCAGTGCAAGGACGAGGCATCGGGACTTGAGAAGGTGGTTCTCCGACAGGCTGGCGGCGCGACAGCGGAGGTAAAGCACACCGCAGTCCCGCAATGACAGCCTCGTCACGTCAATTGACGGCGTACGAGGAATTTCGGAGGATTTAGCGTAGCTTCGTAGTTTCGCGGTTTAGAAAGCCTGTCAAATCTCGGTATAAAACGCACAGTGAAGGGGGTTCGCGGTGTCGCTACGTGGTGTCAATACTTACACGGAAGTTCGCATCGTTGTTTCCGAGCTTGGCTTCACGGTTTCCATTGACAAATAGGCCGGCGTTTCGTTTTCAACAATCTCGTCATTTCACGGCGTGCCAGGAATCTGGGAGGATTTAGCTTGGCTTGGAAAAATTTCTTGTCGATTTTTCAATCCTTCATGTCAATGTTAATAAGCATGCCTATCCGTTCCTTCCGCCTTTTACGCAACTCAATCTTACCCTCTTAATTTAGTGATTTCTCAGGTCCACCTAATCTGCGTGCACGAATTCATGTGGTAACCCTGTAACGTCAGGTGTTTTTCCATGGCGGGCACGTCACCTCGTGGAAGCACGACGGCAAGGAGGAGAACCTCTTTATGAGCAGCAAGGTCAGAATGCTTCGAGACATCTCATGCTCTCACACATCTGAAAACCCAGAGAGACTTTTGATGCGTCGCAATACCAGAGGGCGATATCGAGCTTGTTTTACGAGCTGCGAGGTGAAAGTGCCCACTGCATAACATGCCAGTTGCATTTTCTTGAAGGGTATTGCAGGTGGACAAGGTACCAACTAGTTTGGATGTAATTCAGACCTGAGTTAGGTGATGGGTCTGATACCGGCTTATTTGGGCGTTTTAACTGGTCTAGTTTGTTGATCTCAATATTTCATACATGCTATGCCCAAGTGGCCTCTCTCTATGCCCCCACCTTCCTCTCACGCATACGATCCTGGCTCCCTCTCGCGCACACCTGCATACGCACTCCCATACACAGTATTCCTTGATACTCATGCTCTGCCCACACATGCGCATCCCCTGCCATGTCTGCACTGCAAGCAGGCGATTTTCAAGCCATTTAAGGCAATCCGGGCGGCATCGCGGTGATCTTTCTCTGTGCTCCCACCTCCCTCTCACATATCTCTTCCGCACCCCCTCTCGCTCTCCCTTTCACACCCGTGCTCATCCGTTGTACAGGCCATCTTCAAGCCACCCAAGGCGATCCGAGGCGGCATCCCAGTGTGCTTCCCTCAGGTGCGCTTAGCTGCTCACCAAATCTCCAGCTTTCCAGTTCAGCAGCTCGCCAACTCGCCTTCTCGCGAGCTGAACAACTCACCAGCTCAGCAGCTCACCAGCTCAGCAGCTCAGCAGCTCATCAGCTCGCCAGCTCAGCAGTTAACCAGCTCAGCAGCTCGCCAGCTCACCTCTCCACCGCCTCCTCATGCTGGCTCATGTGTTTTTCCATCTACTGCTGACTCCTCTTCCTCTTATCTCCGGTTCTTCATGTGCTGTCCGTTCCTCGAGTCGAGTCGTTCTTGCTGCGCCAGTGTCTCATTGAATATGCGTTTCATTCAGGCCAAGACCGTGTGGCACCTTCCTTGCAATTTCCCCCCTGCCCACTCTCCCTCCCTCCCTCCCCTCCCTCCCCTCCCTCCCTCCCTCCCTCCCTCCCTCCCTCCCTCCCTCCCTCCCTCCCTCCCTCCCTCCCTCCCTCCCTCCCTCCCTCCCTCCCTCCCTCCCCCCCCCCCTCCCTCCCTTGCTACCTCGCTCCCTCCCTCCCTCCTCCGTCAATCCCTCCCTCCCTCCTTCCCTCCCTGCCCACTCTCCCTCCCTCCCTCCCTCCCTCCCTCCCTCCCTCCCTCCCTCCCTCCCTCCCTCCCTCCCTCCCTCCCTCCCTCCCTCCCTCCCTCTCTCCCTCCCTCCCTCTCTCCCTCCGTCCGCCCCTCCGTCGTCCTCGTTTCCCCCTCCCCCCTCCTCCTTCCTCGCCGTGCCCCCCATCTTTCCTTCCCCTGTTGCAGTTCGGCCCGATGGGACCGTTGGATCAGCACGGCTATGCCAGGAATAGATCCTGGTCGTTGGATCCCGCATCTCCCAACACGGACCCCGCCTCCCTTGATCTGCTCCTCACGCCCTCCCCTGAAGACCTGCGCATCTGGCCGCACAGGTGGGTGGGGTATGATATATGAAGGCGGTATCACTCAGATGCACCTCCCCTCCCTCCCTCCCTCCCTCCCTCCCTCCCTCCCTCCCTCCCTCCCTCCCTCCCTCCTCTCCTCACGCCCTCCCCTGAAGTCCTGCGCATCTGGCCGCATAGGTGAGGGTGCTGATGGCGTGTGCATGCAGCGCTGGTGTGCTTGTAAGGTAAGCTGCAGCGCTGGTGTGCTTGTAAGGTAAGCTGCAGCGCTGGTGTGCTTGTAAGGTAAGCTGCAGCTCCCTTTTCTTTTTGCGAATGAAAGTCGCACTGGGGCGGGGGCGCGAGCTGCTGTCGTCCAAGCGAGTGCTCAACACCGCACCGACAGCAAGGCGCTCTTCCTCACCCCTTCGAGTGTGGTGCTCTCTTCATCCTCTCATTCCCTCCCGGTCCCCCTTTCTTCTTCCGGTGCAGCTTCGAGCTGCAAATGAAGGTGGCGCTGGGAAGAGGAGACGAGCTGCTGTCGTCCACGCGAGTGCTCAACCCCCTCAGCAAGGCGCTCTCCTTCACCGCTTAAGATGTTCTGCTTGCACCCATGCAATTCCCGTGTCTCCTCTTGAAGCTTTGAGTTGCGAATGAAGGTGGCGCTAGGCCGGGGAGGCGGGCTGCTGTCGTCCACGCGAGTGCTCAACCCCCTCAGCAAGGCACTCTTGAGTCGACTCAAATGTCAACACCGACAGCAAGGCACTCTTGAGTCGACTCAAAAGTCAACACCGACAGCAAGGCACTCTTGAGTCAACTCAAATGTCAACACCGACAGCAAGGCACTCTTGAGTCGACTCAAAAGTCAACACCGACAGCAAGGCACTCTTGAGTCGACTCCATGGGCGCTCTCCCTCACCCCTTTCAGTGTTCCCTGCATCATCTTCTCCCTCTCTCTCGCTCTCTCCTCCAAAGCAGCCTTTGAGCTGCTCTAATCCTTGTGCCTCCCGTACTTCTCTCTTCCATATCCTCTCCACCCTCCTTCCCTCCATCCAGCTTTGAGATTCGCATGAAGGTGGCGTTGGGAAGAGGAGGCGAGCTGCTGTCTTTCATGCGTGTTCTCAACACTGACAGCAAGGCGCTCTCCTTCACCACTTAAGATTTTCTGCTTGCACCCATGCATTTTCCATGTCTCCCCTTGAAGCTTTGAGCTGCGAATGAAGGTGGCATGGGGAAGAGGAGGCGAGCTGCTATCCTCCTTGCGTGTAACTTTTGAGTCGACTCAAGAGCTGCTATCCTCCTTGCGTGTAACTTTTGAGTCGACTCAAGAGCTGCTATCCTCCTTGCGTGTAACTTTTGAGTCGACTCAAGAGCTGCCATCCTCCTTGCGTGTAACTTTTGAGTCGACTCAAGAGCTGCCATCCTCCTTGCGTGTAACTTTTGAGTCGACTCAAGAGCTGCCATCCTCCTTGCGTGTAACTTTTGAGTCGACTCAAGAGCTGCCATCCTCCTTGCGTGTAACTTTTGAGTCGACTCAAGAGCTGCCATCCTCCTTGCGTGTAACTTTTGAGTCGACTCAAGAGCTGCTATCCTCCTTGCGTGTTACTTTTGAGTCGACTCAAGAGCTGCCATCCTCCTTGCGTGTAACTTTTGAGTCGACTCAAGAGCTGCCATCCTCCTTGCGTGTAACTTTTGAGTCGACTCAAGAGCTGCCATCCTCCTTGCGTGTAACTTTTGAGTCGACTCAAGAGCTGCCATCCTCCTTGCGTGTAACTTTTGAGCCGACTCAAGAGCTGCCATCCTCCTTGCGTGTAACTTTTGAGTCGACTCAAGAGCTGCTATCCTCCTTGCGTGTTACTTTTGAGTCGACTCAAGAGCTGCCATCCTCCTTGCGTGTAACTTTTGAGTCGACTCAAGAGCTGCCATCCTCCTTGCGTGTAACTTTTGAGTCGACTCAAGAGCTGCTATCCTCCTTGCGTGTTACTTTTGAGTCGACTCAAGAGCTGCCATCCTCCTTGCGTGTAACTTTTGAGTCGACTCAAGAGCTGCCATCCTCCTTGCGTGTAACTTTTGAGTCGACTCAAGAGCTGCCATCCTCCTTGCGTGTAACTTTTGAGTCGACTCAAGAGCTGCCATCCTCCTTGCGTGTAACTTTTGAGCCGACTCAAGAGCTGCCATCCTCCTTGCGTGTAACTTTTGAGTCGACTCAAGAGCTGCCATCATCGCCCCCACCCTTCTTCCCTCGGTGCAGCTTTGAGCTTCGAATGAAGGTGGCGCTGGGAAGAGGAGGCGAGCTGCTGTCATCCATGCGTGTGCTCAACACTGACAGCAAGGCACTCTCCTTCACCTGCGCCCTGCACACATACTTCCGCGTTTCAGACATAAGGTGGGTGACTGTTGCTGCTGCCGTTGGTGGTGCTGCTGCTGTTGTCGGTAGTGTGAGTGACTGGTCCCTTCACCTGCGCCCTGCACACATACTTCCGCGTCTCGAGATCAGGTGAGTCAAGGCCGTGTCTTGGATATCAGGTGAGTCAAGGCCGTGTCTTGGATATCAGGTGGGTAGCTGTTGCTTGTTGCTGCTGCTGTCGTCCATGCGTGTTCTCAACACCGACAGCAAGGCACACTCCTTCACCTGTGCACACATACTTCCGCGTCTCAGATATAAGGTGGGTGTCTGTTGCTGCTGTGTGTGTGTGTACTGCGGTGCGGGTGGCTGTTAGTGCTATGTGCTGCAGGTTGTGGTCTGACTATTCCTCCCTAGCTTTGCTCCTTTCCATCTCCCGTCTTCCTCCCACCCCCCTTTCCCCCCCTCTCTCTCCCCTCCCCCTTTCTTTCCTCCTCTTCCGCGAGGTTCGCATAGAGGGGTTGGATACGCGGTAATTTTTTTCATTTTCTAGGCGCCTCAACATTCTTTTCCACCTCTCCCCCCACCCCGCCTCTCCCCTCCGCGGCAGTGAGGTGCGCATACGAGGGCTGGGGGCGTTGGACTATCTCGAGGGCTGGGGACGTTGAACTATCTCGAGGGCTGGGGACGTTGAACTATCTCGAGGGCTGGGGGCGTTGAACTATCTCGAGGGCTGGGGACGTTGAACTATCTCGAGGGCTGGGGGCGTTGAACTATCTCGAGGGCTGGGGACGTTGAACTATCTCGAGGCACTCCAAGTATCGTTTTTCCACTCTTCTCCTCCCCCCTTTTTCTTGGCAGCGAGGTGCACATACGAGGGCTGGAGGCGTTGGATTATTTCGACAACCTGGATGCTCTCAAGAGAGTCACGGACCAAGGCGACTCCATCGACTATTGTGTCGCCTCAATCGTTGTCTCACCGCCACTCATGCTGACCTCCCTTTCGTCTCCCCTCTTCCTCCCCCTCTGCTCCCCCTCCGACCCCTCTCTGCGCCCTCTCCGCTCCCCTCCGCTTCTCCCCCCCCCCCTCCTCTTCCGCCTCTCCCCTCTGTGGCAGCGAGGTGCGCATAGAAGGGTTGGAGACGTTGGATTATTTCGACAACCTGGATGCTCTCAAGAGAGTCACGGACCAAGGGGACTCGATCACATTCGACTCGGAGGTGAGAGATGCAAGACACTGTTACAAAAGGCATTCACAATACCCTCAGAGGTACTTGTCACCTAAGGGCAGTGAGGGTGGAAGGGGGCAGTGGGAGAGGCACAGGAAGCCACTAAGGGACCAAGGTGGCTCCATCACATTCGACTTGTAGGAGAGTTGGTTCCATGGGCAAGGAGAAGAGTTGCTTCCATGGGCAATGAGAAGAGTTGGTTCCATGGGCAAGGAGAAGAGTTGGTTCCATGGGCAATGAGAAGAGTTGGTTCCATGGGCAATGAGAAGAGTTGGTTCCATGGGCAATGAGAAGAGTTGATTCCATGGGCAATGAGAAGAGTTGGTTCCATGGGCAATGAGAAGAGTTGGTTCCATGGGCAATGAGAAGAGTTGGTTCCATGGGCAATGAGAAGAGTTGGTTCCATGGGCAATGAGAAGAGTTGGTTCCATGGGCAATGAGAAGAGCTGGTTTCATAGCCGACTTGGAGGAGAGTTGGTTCCATGGGCAATGAGAATGGAAGGGCGGTGCGAGAGAGGCAGCAGCTCGAGGCAGGTTGGATGCTCTCTACAGGACGTGTGTTACATTTTTCGTTTTCCACGGTCCGAACTGCCCGCCGTCCGGACAAAAGGCTGTGCGGCAGCACGAAAGTTTGTGTGGCATGAAAGATTGCATCATAAAGACTGCGACTCAAGGCCGTGTGTCTAAATGTACCTGATCTTGACTCTCCGTGCTTCTCACATTCGCCACTTCCTTGTGTGATTTTGTCTATGCAGTTTGACAGAATATACTTGAATACTCCTGCAAAGGTTGCTATAGTGGATCACGCAATAAAGAAGACATACCTCGTCAAGAAGGATGGGTTCCTTGATGCAGGTAACGACTTTTGCACCGATAAGTCGCTCCGCCTGTTTTTTTTTTAGGGTTGTCAAGAACACCTCGAGGCGCCTCAACAGGGAGAAGAGTTCCTCGGTGCAGGTAACAAAGTTTGTCGCGCTTCAAAAGAATGGCGGAATTTTTTATGCAGGTAAGAACTTTTGCAGGGTGTATTTTATCATTCTTGAAAACGCCGTGATGCGCCTTGAGAAAGGGTGGATTGTGCGGTGCAAGTAACTCCTAATTCTATTTGAATCATTCCATTGCCGTCCTATCCACCATGAAGTACAATCTAGTGGATCCTGCGATACTAAGTATGTGCATTTTTCAGGAGATTCGGTTCCTTCCATGACGCAGGTCTTATCTTATAAAAAAACTTCAGTCGTAGCTAGAAGGACAGCAGTGCTTGAAGTCATTCTTTGAGGCGCCTCAAAAATCGGTTCCTTCTATGGCACAGGTCTCACCTTATAAAAGCTTGTGCGTGTGGTGTGTTGATGATGCTCCACTCTCGTCGTATCCCCCCTGCTCTCCTCCTCACCCCTCTTTTTGGTCTCCAATCCTCCTCGCCCAATCCACGGTTGTGTGGAAGTGCAACCCCAACAAGGGGGAGCATGAGCGAGGGGGAGCATGAGCGAGGGGGAGCATGAGCGAGTGGGAGCATGAGCGAGGGGGAGGGAGAGTACTTTGTGGGCGTGGACTGCTCCTCATCCTCCATGCTCCTTTCCCATAACCCCCCTTGCATCCGTTTTTCACAGTCGTGTGGAACCCCTGGGAGAAGAAGGCACGGGCAATGAGCGACATGGGAGAGGGAGAGTACAAGCGGTTTGTGTGTGTGTGTCACACTCTCTCTCTCTCCTCTTCTTCCGCTTCCCCAACCCCCATGCATATCCATTCACAGTGGTATGGAATCCGTGGGAGAAGAAGGCAAGGGCCATGAGCGACATGGGAGAGGGAGAGTACAAGCGATTCGTGTGTGTGGAGGCAGCAGCAATCGAGAAGCCGGTGCAGCTGAAGCCGGGGGAGGAGTGGCGAGCCGGTCAAGAGCTGTCAGTGGTGCCTTCGTCGTACCACAGTGGACAGTTGGACCCTACCGTGGTTACAAGGGGTTATTAGGGGTTGTTGGTTGTAGCACTGGGTTAAGAGGAAGAGGTAGAGAGGCAGCAGTGATTGAGAAGCCGGTGCAGCTGAAGCCAGGGGAGGAGTGGCGCGCTGGGCAAGATCTGTCAGTTGTGCCTTCGTCGTACCACAGCGGACAGTTGGACCCGACCGTGGTTACACGGGGTACTAGCGGTCAAAGCCGGTGCAATTGGAACCTACTGTGGTCACAAGGGATTATCAAGGGTTGGTGTTGGTAACACTGGGTTTCGAGGGAGAGAGTGAGAGGCAGCTGTTGAAGCCGATGGAAGTGAAACCAGGGGAGGTGTGGTGAGCAGGGCAAGAGCTGTCTGTCATGCCTTGGTCGTATCATAGTGGCCAGTTGAACACCACTCCACTGTTGTCACAAGGGGATTTATGGGATTTATGGGGATTACTGTTGAATAGAAAAGCTGGTGCAGCTGAAGGTGGGGGAGGAGGTGCAGATGGGTTAAAGCTCGCGGCCCAAATTGCGGGTTGATTGACAGTTGTTTTGCAGGTGCTGGGAGGTTTAGGGCGCTTCACCTCTCAGTTCGAACAGCACGGTTGTTCGAACAGGCGAACTGTTACATTTTTCGCCACTCCTCGTATGGGTGTTCGTGACGTCGCTAGTCGGAAATTTCGCGAATTTGAACAGAGTTGTCATACGGGGCACGAAGCTCTCCATTCCGCACGTTCGAACAGAGTTGTTCGAACAAAGTTGGGTTTGGTGACAGGAATTCCGCATGGACGACTGATTTTATTGGTTAGCAGGCTTCGGGTCGCACACGAATGTTTGCGACCATTGCAAATGTCGCCATGCAGGAGAAAGTTCATCGATAAGGACATTGTTGTTGGGAAACAAGGTGAGCAGTAGTAGAAGAGCACGAAGAGACTGTTTGACTGGATGGGCGAAAAATGAGTCAAACTTGAATGGCAGACGACAGAATTATTTTTTGCGACGTTTCGCGAAGTCGTCCAACACTTGGCGACGTCGCATGTTCGAACAGGCTGTCACCTCTAGTAACGAGCTGTCACATTCACCAAGGTGTTCAAATCTGTGTTCGGATCTCGTCGGGAAACTGTTCGTACAGTGAATTCGTTACGTATGTTCGGATTTGGGCCTTCCAGCCCCGAGGTGATGCGCCCTTAGGCACCGAGTTTTGGGCACTGACCAATCAACATCGCTGACTGCCATCACCCATCGCCTTCTATGCCCAAGTCGTCGCAGATCGCCGATTTTAGGGGAATAACTGTACTCCGTCTGGCAGTAGAAGACCGTTCTTCACCATTCTGTAACGTATAGAACCGTGCTAGCCAGGCCACCTCAGAACTAATTTCGGGAAGATTGGAAACCAGGAACAAGCACGCATACCTTGAATGGCTCGACTGGCATATACTGCCGTAGGCTATGGCTAGAGTCGCCATCAGCATGGGCCGCTAAGATGAGTTATCAGCGAGTCGCCTTTTTTCTGCATTTACAACTTTCAAGGATCGCAGCAGTCTTCGTCGCGGTTCGTGCTTTAGAGAGACTCATGCTTTGAAATCGACAGAAGCGCACATAGATTCGAGGCGACAGATTAACTACCAATGGTAAAACGTCTGAGCGATATTACATAGAAAGTACAGTCGTCAACAGTCATTCACCATGCTAACTGCTGCAGAGCGTATGTCGAAAGTGGTGAACTGGCAGCAGGTAGCGATCGTGTCAGTAGTCCTGATCGCCACCGTTGTAATCACAAGCCAGTGCTGTAAGCCCCGACACCCGCGTCGCTGTTCCGGTTACATTTTCTAACAAATATTTTGGACGTGACCACATTCATAGTAGTGTTCCCATCACGTAAATCTTCGAGTAACCCCCATTGGCAATGGAGAGCAACACCCTACTAATTTTCGTTGGAATTATTTTGTAGTCTGACGTAGTACGACCATTCTCATACCACATTTCGTCTCATCACGTCCTTGTACAAATCGGCTTTGCACCGTGCAGACACAGCTTCTTGGAATGACGGTCCAAGCCGACCAACTGACGACTGCACTAGCTCTTCCATTGACCAGCAAGACTCTAGAAAATCCTCGAGATTCCACATTCAGGACTACGGCCTCCAGGGACCCATTCCCTGGACGTACATCCGACCAACCGTCCGCGATGAATTTACTGTCAACGGCTCGATCAGGGCCGTTGAGTATTTCCATGGGACGGATATGGGTGACTCTGGAGCGAAGGCGGTCGTCTGGCCGACCGGGCAGATTGACCGGAAAAAGAGAATGGCGGAGGCGAGATCCCCTAGAGTTTCTAAGTACGGCGAGAATGCAACTCTATCTTTCTACGATGCATTGGATAAGTACCCAGTCGAACGGAAATCGGTGCTAGTGATAGGGAGTCAAACCCCTTGGCTTGAGGGAATTCTCTTGGCGTATAAAGCTGGATCGATCACGACTGTTGATTTCAACAGACCCGCTGCAGACTATCCCGGACTGAGGCTGTGGAATATTGCTGAGCTGGACGCCTCAGATGAGTCCTTTGACGTGGTAGCTTCGTATTCGTCGCTGGAGCACGATGGGCTGGGGAGATATGGCGATCCGCTAAACCCGGATGGAGATCGGCTGAGAATGATGAAGGTAAATTGCGCTGAGGTGCTTGGTTGTATGGGATGCAATTTCCATGGTATGTGTAACCTAACCATGCTTCCTAAAGATTTGCTCTCTGCTGAAATTTACTGAATCCTTGCCCAGTCCTTTACCCCTCCACGGCATCTCTCACATCCTACTGCTTCTTGCTTTAGCTGCCATGTCCCTCTGTCCCATTGCTGCTGCGCAGATCAGGGGCCTACTAAAGCCAGGAGGGCTCTTCTTCCTGGGGGTGCCAGTGGGGAACGACACGCTGGTGTTCAATGCACATCGGGTGTACGGTCCCATCCGCATGCCACTGCTGCTCAATGGCTGGAAGCTGCTGGATGTGTTTGGGGTGTCCAGTCTCGAAGCAGCTTATAGGGAGAACCTGAATGCAACAATCTTACAGCCGGTCATGGTGTTGAGGTAGAGGTTTCTGAACGCAGCTATGCATATGGTTGCCATAGTAAACCAGACTTCCAGACGCAAAAGGGGAGTATCTTGCTCCTCAGTCTCTCCAAGGGCAACCACCAGGGCGCGACTATGATATTGGTCGATCAGATCTCCAGAAGAGATCCAGGGTAGTATATTTTATCAAAGCAGCTGTTTTCCTAGAAATTAGGGTAGTTCTACGAAGTAAGCCTGTCTGTTAAGGCTTTGAAATCAATGTTTTTTTGTAAGGGTTTTTCTTAGAGCTGCCTCAGTGTAATCTCCACAGGCTACATACGTGTCAAATGTGATTCTATGCTTGTAGGCTACAGTGAGTAGCACAATAGGGAGTACAGTTGTTAGGGTTGCATATTTGTACTTCCACACTTCCTAGTTTCATTCATTCCGTTGCATTCCTATTCAGAGATGGTATCACGAGTAGGTTAGATCCTCGTTCGTTTTTTTTTTTAACTAGCCTCCACGCCCTACGCGCCCTCCGTGCTCTCGCGCCCTCCGCGCCCTCCGCGCCCTCCGCGCTCTCCGCGCCCTCCGCGCCCTCCGCGCCCTCCGCGCCCTCCGCGCACCTAGCCCGCGCCCTCCCGCGCCGTCCAGCCTGTCGCGCGCCCTCCTTAGACCTCCGCGCGCCCTCCCCCACCGTTGCGCGCCCTCCAAAACCGTCGTGCGCCCTCCTTAGACCGCCGCGCGCCCTCCCTCATCGTCGCGCGCCCTCCTCAACCGTCGCGCGCCCTCCTTAGATCGTCGCGTGCCCTCCCCTCTGCCTGTCGCGCGCCCTCCTCCGTCAACGCTTCCCGCACACCAGCGTGCGCTTACCGCACACCTGCGTGCGCTTACCGCACACCTGCGTGCAATTACCGCATCACTCTGTGTGCGCTTCCCGCACACCTGCGTGCACTCCCCGCACACCTGCGTGCCCTTACCGCATCACTCTGTGTGCGCTTCCCGCACACCTGCGTGCGCTTCCTGCATACCTGCGTGCCCTTACCGCACACCTGCGTGCACTTACCGCACACCTGCGTGCGCTTACCGCATCACTCTGTGCGCTTACTGCATCTCTCTCCCCTTCACCTGTGCACCGGTCCCACGCCATTCCTACTGCACTTGGCTCCCGGCTCAGCGGCTGGCAGCCGCTCTTCCCTCTGGTAGCGCCACCTAGGTTCGGTTAGAGCCCCGCCCCACGACTATTTTCTCGCCGACTGTCTCTCGTCATTTTCCCCGCTGGCGTCCCTAGCCCTCCATAGTTTTCCTCCTCGTTCTTAGCTTCGCCTCTGCCGTGCTCCAGTCGCCTCTAGCATGGGCTCCGCTATGGAGGCTCGTCGCCTCCGTTTCGATGCTGAGGTACGCCCGATCGAGTTCGGTACCTGGCAGCGCCAGACCACACGTTTCCTCACTAGCCAGCGTCAGGACGGCGCCACTCTGTGGGCCCACGCGTCGGGTGCTCTCGCGGCACCCCCGTCCCCCGCCGCCCTGCCGACCGCCCCGGAGCCCACTCCTCTGGAGCGGCAGTTGTTCCCACCTGTGAGTGGCCTGAGGGCCCTTGGCCTTTCCTCCTCTCCTCCTGTCCGCTCCCAGTCTCCTCCTGTGTTTGTTCCTCCGTTGCCTCCTCCTGACGACCGTCCGGCGGTCTGGTCTTCTCCTCCTCCTCGGTCTCCTCCTCACTCTGTCCGTCACGACTTGATCACTCGTTGTCCTCCGCGTGCTCGTCACTCGTCCCCTATTACTGACCTCCACACTGTCCTCTTTTGTTCGTCCACTCGTCGTTCTTGTTCTCCTGTGTCCGTTCTCCCGTCTCCTCCTCCGTCCTCTCTCCCAGCCCTCCCCACTCCTATAACTGACTACTACCGCACTGTTCGTCTTGTTGCCGCACGTGTCCTCGCCACTCTTGTCACTGACTCTCGTTTCCCTCCGTCGTCTGCCTCGGCTCTTACTGCCGCTGTCGCTGAGTTTGCTGCCGCCAGCCGCCTTGACTACGCCACCCAGGTGGTGCCAGCTCCTCCCTACCGTCCTCTGTCCGTCGGGGGTGGGTTTGCCCTTGGCTGTGACGTCCTAGAGGACAGAGAGTCTGAGTTGGAGTACTGGGCAACCGCTTCTCCCTTTGTGTGTGCCATGCTGCTCTCCCCTGAGGGAGACCCCGACGCCCTTGACATACCGACTCCTCGCACTTACCACGAGGCAGTGTCAGGGGCGTGGGCCTCTCAGTGGAAAGCGGCTATGGACTCAGAGTTGGCGTCTTGGAGATCCACAGGCACCTACGTCGACGCAGTTCCCCCTCCCAGGGCGAACGTAGTCGATGGCATGTGGCTCTTCAAGGTGAAGCGGCCGCCTGGAGCACCGCCGGTGTTCAAGGCGCGCTACGTGGCTAGGGGCTTCAGTCAGCGTGAAGGAGTTGACTTCTTCCAGACCTTGGCCCCGACCCCGAAGATGACTACTCTTCGTGTGTTACTCCACATAGCAGCGCAGCGAGACTACGAGCTGCACTCCCTCGACTTCTCCACTGCGTTCCTCCAGGGCCGACTGCACGAGGAGATCTGGCTGCGCCATCCTCCTGGCTTCACTGACACCTTCCCACCTGGGACCCAGTGGAGCCTGAGGCAACCAGTCTACGGTCTCCGCCAGTCGCCCCGTGAGTGGCACGACATTCTTCGCTCCACGCTTCGTGACCTTGGGTTCAGCCCGTCCTCCGCCGACCCGTCGCTGTTTGTTCGAGCGGGTTCTACTCCTTTCTTTATCCTTGTCTACGTCGACGACTTGGCATTTGCTACAGCTGACTGGGCAGCTCTGGCTCAGGTGAAGTCCGAACTACAGAAGAGACACAAGTGCACTGACCTGGGTGAGCTACAGCGCTACCTTGGCCTGCAGATCACCCGGGACAGAGCCGCTCGCACCATCACACTGACGCAGTCACACATGGTGCAGCAAGTCCTTCGGCGGTTCGACTTCCAGTTCTCCACCACACAGCCCACTCCTCTTGCTGTTGACCACAGACTCACGGGCCCATTTCCTGACGAGCCCTTCGAGTCCAGTGGACCCTACGCAGAGCTGGTGGGTTGCCTCATGTACCTGCTGACTTGTACTCGACCGGACCTCGCCTTTCCCCTCAACATCCTTTCTCGCTTTGTTGCGACTGGGAGACACCGCCCTGTCCACTGGACAGCTGCTATGAGGGTGGCAAAGTACTTGGCGACTACATCAGGCATGGGGCTTGTGCTTGGAGGGACTCAGCCAGTGGCGTTGACTGGTCACTGCGACTCTTCCTACGCTGGCAACGTGGAGACTCAGCGCTCGACTCAAGGTTACTGCTTCAGTCTGGGAGCTGGTGCTGTGTCGTGGAGGTCTACACGGTCGTCGTCTGTGGCTACTTCCAGTGCAGAGGCAGAGATCTACGCTGGTGCCATGGCGGCACAGGAGCTTCGCTGGTTGACCCTCTTGCTCGCCAACCTTGGTGAGCGGCCTCGCTCTGCTCCGACCTTGTGCGCTGACAACAAGGCCATGATCCTCCTGTGTCGAGAGCCTCGACTCGAGAGCAGAGTGAAGCATATTGACGTGAGGTACTTCCTTCTGCGAGAGCTGCAGCGACGCGGCCAGGCACGCCTGGAATTTGTGGCCTCAGAGGCCAACACTGCAGACGTCTTCACCAAGGCCTTGGCGCTTGGTGATCACCACAGGTTCTGTGTGCAGTTGGGGCTTGTTGAGGTAGGCCCTCGGTTGCTGTAGTCTTGTTGTTTGCTCTACTTGTTGTGCTTCCTATTTATATCCTAGTGAACTCTTGAACTGGCCTTGTGGCCACTTGCTTGCGCTCGGAATTTGTGTGGTGTCCTTGAGATCCACCCTGAGCTTGCCTTGTTTCTTGCTTTGACTGGTCTTGTGACCATTTATTCACCTTGCTTGCTTTGATGCCCCTCACTTAGCCTATGGGGGTGTGTCAAATGTAATTCTATGCTTGTAGGCTACAGTGAGTAGCACAATAGGGAGTACAGTTGTTAGGGTTGCATATTTGTACTTCCACACTTCCTAGTTTCATTCATTCCGTTGCATTCCTATTCTGAGAATACGATACTCTTCTATACAGGGTGCAGGCACATTGTATGTGCTAGGGAAGTGATGGTCACCAACCAATCAACAGCGCTGACTACCATCTCCATCGCCTTCGCTGCCATTGGTGATCGCAATTGGTGATCATCTCTCTTGTACACTCAACAGTTTCGCAATGGACGCACACATTTTGACGATCTCGTTTCGTCAATTCAAACTGGCAGTGCGAAGCCGTGTTACTGTTGTCGTTAATTGGTCGCACGGAAAATGGTTACTGTATTTGCGAGGAGCTTTGTCAAGTTCCTCAGAATTTCAGAAATGGGTCTTCATCTTAGATGCCTGGATCCCTCCGCTAAAAGGGCAGGGTTAGCGCTTTCTGCGCATGGTTTCCGCAAAAGGCTGGGCTAGGGGGGGAGGGTTATCGTTCTGGTTAGGGAGTCGAGCCCTCAATGAGCCACGTGTTTCATCCTACGCTTGCTCGCTCACTGTACATCACAACCACAGATTCCGCACTGCGCGCCCTTGTCTTTTCTACCGAACCCATCCCACGTTCCGGGTGGCTTGACGGCCCACTGTTCCCAAACCACTGTGGCCCTACCTTCAGCGCCAATACTTGTTACAGCTTCACTGAAAACGCACAGAAACTCCGTCAAAGGACTTTCATATCAAGGTTGTGGCACACAGGAAAAGTGAAACACAATACAGGTAAATCCGTTACGAGAGGTTGAATTGATTGCGCATAGAATGAAAGTAGGGATATAAAATAAGAATGCCTAGGTCAGGTTTTCATATGCAAATCCTTGATTTGTGTTATTGAACCCTTGTCGAGTTTAGTATTGGATAAGTGACTATGTCGTATATATACATGACATCTAGTATAGAAATAAATACATATGTTAATATGGTAGATGTATTTTGTAATGCTAAACGATTTACATTACGGAAACCATG